TACTGTAAAGAAAACCACTGGCGTTCTCTGAAATAAGCCTCTAATATAGGGGTAGGCCACCTTGGCTCTTTTATGACTTGTGGACTTCAACTCCCAGAATTCCTGAGCCAGCCATGCTGAGGGGAAAGGGAGAGGTTTCCAAGCTGAGCCATGGCTGGCTCAGGAATTCTGGGAGTTGAAGTCCACGAGTCATAAAAGAGCCAAGGTTGCCTACCCCTGCCCTAATAAAATGTTGGCATACATTCCCTCACTGTATTCTTTCTTTTGTTCATTCTTCAATAATTTGATTACACATGGCTGAATTATCAACGTTCAAAAGCCCTAGGATTTCGAAAATACGAGCAGCGAACTGTGCACTCCAGGACCTTAATCTGTCTTCATCTATGGAATATGGCATTTTGATTTTTAGAACTCCTGAAGCATATTTCCTGCTTCTTTAATATCAACCCTCGAATTAAAAATGGGTCTACTGAATCAGTCTGTGATAATACTTAAACTCAAAACTAATGGCCCTTGATATAGCTGTCCTCCGCTAATTTTAAAATTATCCAAATTGCTGGCTATTGCCATTTCTTGTAGTAATGATTTCCACAGGTTAATTACGGTCTGTGGGAAGAAGTGGTTATTTTGCCTCTTCTGAATCTCTTTCTAACCATTTCAAATCATTAGACTCTGGATACTATTCTTAAGATGTAGATAAAAACTTAACTTTCTCCATGCCATGCATGATTTTAGATACCTAAATTATGTCGCCAACAGTAATGTGGCTCAAAGTCGCAAACGCATATAGAAATTGTCATTTTACAATTTTTTTCTGCCAGAGTTTATGCTCTTTCATGTACTGATTAGGACAGTCAGTTTCTTGGATAGAGAGGAGTCATCTTCTTCCCCAACTGCAAAATAACATTTAAAAAAATCTTTCCTATAAGACAGTGGTTCTCAACCTGTGGGTCGGGACCCCATTTGGGGTCGATCGACCATTTCATGGGGGTCGCCAAGCAAGGCTGTCCGCCATTTTTTTTGTCCGCCATTTTTCCCCCCTTTTCCGGCGGGTGCCTTACCTCCCTTGGGCTGGGCCAGCTGGTGGTCGGCCTGCTCCGTCTCTGCCGCTTGCCAGCTACGCCTCGGCCAGCGCAGGGGGAGGAACCACGCATGCGCGGCGCTCCCGGGCAGGGAAAGTCCTCGACTTACGACCGGTTTAGTCCTCGACTTACGACCGGTTAGGGTCGCGGCATTAAAAAGGTTGAGAACCACTGCTTTAAGAGCAATAACCAGTTTTCATTTTACGCACTGACATACCTTGTTTTTTTTCCCTCTCTCTGATCTCTTTTCAAATTTTTCCTTTCGATTTGCAGGACCACTTTATACAAAATATCTGCTTTAAAAAATTTGAGTATTTGAGCGCTGGTGTCTGACCTAGAAAGCAGCTGTGTAGGGCAACAACTCTTCATTCTGGAGACATTTTGCGAATTAAACAATTGTCACCCATACTCCTTTTCAGCTGTCTTTAAAAAAGGCATGAGAGAGTCTTGCAGTTGACTGTAGGACTATGCTACAATTCAAATAGTCCTCACTTACTGACCTCAATTGCTATGCAGCGTTGCATGCAATGTAACTGATTTATATCAATTCTGACTGGGTTATTAAGCAAATCACTGTGGACTGTGAACTGCAGTGTCACATGACTACAACTTGCTCCCATCTTCCCCATTGACTTTGCTTGCAAATGAAGATTATGTGACTGCAAGATGCTATGACTATTATAAATATGCACTAGTTGCCAAGTGCCCTAATCATGAGCTTGTGATCGTGGGACCTTGCAATGGCCACAACTTCAAGGACTAATTGTAACTCTCCTTGATCAGTGCCGTCGTAACTTCAAACTGTTGCTGAATACGTGGTCAGTAAGTGAGGATTAACAGTATAATTGCCTACGTCAGTGCCATGGCAGGGAAAATAAGGATAAACAATAGTGAGGTATACTAAGTGCTTGACCTTATAGAACTGCAATTTTTTAGAATTTGTGAAGAAGTATATCTTATTTTAAAAGATAAATCAGGAAGAAAAACTTGCACGCCTTTGAAATGACAGGATGAGGTTATATCATCATTTTTAGCCATTGCCTATCCACTGCAGGATGAAGGCCTCTTCTGCATGTCTTTTTTTTTTTCCTTTTGGAAAGGATATATACAGCATGTTAAAATGATAAGCTTGGTTTGTACAATTTCTTCTTTAACTTCTGAAGCTTTAAGAGTGGAGAATTGCTGACATTTTGCCAGTGGAAGGGCTTGCTGGAGTTCGTAGAAAATAACCGAAAGCAACAACAGGTCCAATAAAGGAAAGTAACATAACAGATATCTGTCCTTTACTGCATTTCAGGAGGAATATAAACCTGGCCACGCCCTGGCTGAGGAAGATCTAAAAAACGCCATCAGTATCCATCATTCACTGGCCACCCAAGCATCGGATTACAACAAGAGACCCAACGTTTTCTATCTCAGGACAGCTGACTGGAGAGTCTTCCTCTTCCAAGCCCAGTAAGCAGGAGAGCACAGAATGTAAATTAGATGCTTCTAATGGGGGAAGGGGATTGATTTATCAGATCAATTTTATTTATTGGAAGGAAAGTTCTAGAAGTAACATTGGAAATTTTACTTATTGTATTATTAGAAGGATCTACTGTTTGCTTAGGCAGCACACAATAGGTCAGTGGTGGCGAACCTATGCAGAGGCGGCACTCAGAGCCCTCTCTGTGGGCACACGTGCCGTCACCCCAGCCCCGCCTCCTCCCATGACCCCCTCCTCACCGTCCCCCCCAGAGGAGAGTCGCCCCCGGGCACGGCCCATGCAAAGCAGCGCAGCCAAGCACATGGTAGCCGGGCAACGGGGACAAGACTCTGCCCTTGCGCCCCGTCACACGCAGATGATGCTGTGGGGCACGGGCGAAGGGCGTGGCCATGGCGCTGCTGGGCCGCTTGGGTGATCTGTGGCAGGCCATGTAGGTGGTGGGTGGCCCAGCGGGCAGAGTGGAGCAGGGACGGGGGTAGGGGGCAGGTTTTGGGCACTCGGTCTCTAAAAGGTTCGCCATCACTGCAATAGGTAATATCAGACAAAAACAAAAAAAGAGCTAAGCTTTGTCTATCATTGAATGCAGCCTTCCGTATTGTTCCTTCCCTTTCTGACTGTTCCAAACAAAGAAAGATTTTAAAGAAGCACTGCATCTCTTCAATATTCCTTAAAATTCCAGGTTTAAGAGAAAAAAAAACTATATAAAGCTTCACATTCAGACTCAGGGCCGTATGGAATATTACCATTTTCCCTAGATCACTGCAACAATAGCCAAAAAAACTCTGTGCAGTAGCAGCACATTTAGCATAAAATACATTACTTTGCCACCTTTTACACACGCTGGGATATTTTGTGGATTTGGGTTTTTCTTCCCCTTTGTTTAGCATCATTTTAAAGGTTTTTAGATTTTATTTTTTAAACATACAGCCTTCAAGAATTACAAAGTGCATGGTAAGAGGTTGGGATTGTTTTATGGGTTTCAGCAGAGGACTTGGGATGTCTTTTGTGTACAGTTATGAGAGCAAGTTATTTTTTGAACGAAACAATTTTGGCAAGCTTTCTTGGCCCATGATATCATTTAGAGAATGATACCTCTTTTACATCGTACTCCAGGAACACAGAACAGATGAATTCCTGGATCACACGGATTAATATGGTAACAGCCATGTTCTCCGCACCACCATTTCCAGCTGCCATTGGATCCCAAAAGAAATTCACTCGGCCATTACTGCCCAGTTCTTCCACAAGACTATCACAAGTAAGTGGGTCATCTTTATTGTTAGCGATTCTAGTATTATTCTGGAAGAAGAACTAGAGAAAAATTAAATGCGGTTAAGACAATAAGTTTCTAATGCAAAAAAGGGCTGAGAGAAATAATGAAACTTCCAGAGCTGAATAAACTGTCCTGAAATTGGCAAGCAGGAGTTGTGTGTCCATGTATCTGTGCAAAAATTTAGATTCAAAGAACTGATAAAATTGGTAACATTACCACAAAGGGAAAAATGAAAACAAGTTGTGAATGCCAGTTGGGGCTGATTTGCTACTAGGAGGTCCTACAATAGAGACCAAGCAACTTTTTTCCTCCATTCTTCACAGGAAGAGCAACTGAAGAGTCATGAAATCAAATTTAAAGCCATGGCAGCAGAACTTTTGGAGCATCGTTCCTCCCTTCCTGAAAAGAAGGTGAAAGGCAAGGAATATGAGGAACTGAAGCAGAAAGAGGAGTATCTGATATTTGAAGTAAGTAGGAAGAGCCAGATCTGTTTCCAAACAGAACTTGCAAAGCAATGTTGGAGATGGTAGCAGAAGGTTCTCAAAAAAGAATGGTAGGGAAAATGTTTTCATTTGAGTAGCCCTTCTATCAGGACTGATCTAAGGTTACCATTAGTAATTTGCTNCTTATTAGCTCAACTGTCAATTTAAAATGTACTAATAAGATCCTTTTAAAATAAAGCTGGCCAATATAGAAAGTATGGGTCTTTCCTTCCTTTCTGTTACATTAAACAATGATCATTGCTATGATGCCTGAATGATACCTAGTACTACAAAAGTACTATAAGGGGAAATATTGTTCCTCTTGCTGTTTAAAAATAAGTATCTGTGCATAATCTCTGTAGAATGAAGTCAGACGAGACTGCAGTGTTCTCAGGCACCTATTCTATTTTCTGTACTGAATAAATCAATTGCCTGTTTTGTTCGTGGCATTTTTCCTATATAATAATAATCTCCCACATTATTGAGAAAATCAGAGATAATCTGGGCCTTTGGAATCCTTAAAACACTGTCCCTTAAAAGACACTGCACTGAACAGGTTTTTAGGCATGTGCTTCTCAATCTCAAGTATGTCAAAGTCTTGGCTGAATATTGATGAATGGGGAGATATGGCAAATAACTGGAAGAGATGAATCTCTGGTGTTTCTTTGCCCCTCTAGAGATGAAGAAGAGTTGCGAAAATCCCTTTCGGAATTGGCAGACCCCAACTCAAAGTCCATCAAACGCATCAGCAGCAGCAGCAACCCCTTCCTGGACTTCTCACAGGATGCCAGCATTGCTATGTACAAGCACGGTCTCCTGGTGCGCAAAAGCCATGCTGAGCCAGATTGCAAAAAGAGTACGTGTTAAGAGTTGTGGCGTGAGTGTGAGTTGAGTAGAGTGTGAGTGAGAGAAGCAGGACGGCATGGGAGGGCGCTCTATGAGGCTCCACGAAGGATCATTCCCCTTTGCCATGCTGAATTGTAGTAGTAGTAGTAGTAGTAGTAGTAGTAGTAGTAAAGTTGGAAGGGACCTTGGAGGTCATCTAGTCCAACCCCCTGCTCAGGCAGGAAACCCTACATCATTTCGGACAAATGGCTGTCCAGTCTCTTCTTAAAAACTTCCAGTGTTGGAGCATTCACCGCTTCTGGAGGCAGGTTGTTCCACTGGTTAATTGTTCTCACTGTCAGGAAGTTTCTCCTTAGTTCTACAGTAGGTTGCTTCTCTCCTTGATTAGTTTCCACCCGTTGCTTCTTGTCCTGCCTTCAGGCGCTTTGGAAAATAGCTTGACTCCCTCTTCTTTGTGGCAGCCCCTGAGATATTGGAACACTGCTATCATGTCATTATCATGTTATTACAACTTGGGATGTAAGGAAGGAGAGGCTTATTTTACAAGGGTCAACTTTTAAGCCTGTAGTTGCTTTAAGACAGGATTTCTTTTACTTCTTCCTTTTTCGCCCCCATGGTCATTGGGGGTCTAGGGCAGTGGTGGCGAACCTATGGCACGCGTGCCAGAGTCAGCACTCGGAGCCTTCTCTGTGGGCACACGTGCCGTTGCCCCAGCCTTGCCTCCCCCCACAACCCCCTCACCAGCCCCCCTGGAGGAGAGTCGCCCCTGAGCGTGGCCCACACGGAGCAGCACAGCCAAGGACATGGCAGCCAGGCAGCGTACACAATACTCTGCCCTTACGCCCCATCCTGCACAGTTGATGCTGCGGGATGTGGGCAGAAGGTGTGGCCGCCATGGCGCTGCTGGGCTGCCCGGGCGATCTGCAGCGGGCCCTGGAGGCGGTGAGTGGCCCTGCGGGCAGATGGGGTGGGGGCAGGGCAGGGGGTGGAGCGGGGGTGGGGCCAGTTTTTGGGCACTCGGTCTCTAAAAGGTTCGCCATCACTGGCCTAGGGCCTCCTGGCATCCACTGACCTCCTTTTTCTTTAATTGCAAATTGGGATGCATAAAAAGAATAGCAGCCCTTTCTCAATGAACAGGATTCTATGTAAGATGAAAATGCGGACAGCATCCACAGAAAGGGGAAAGAGAAGAGGGAGAAGGAGACAAAGAAAACCATAAAGGAAAAAGAGAGAGGGAGAGAGAAATACGTTTATGAGACCCATTCCCTGATTTAAAATCTCTTCTGGATTTTAGCCACGTCTCTCTGCCTGGTACTTGGAAATATGGCTTTTCTGACATTTTGTGGCATTCTGTTTCCACAAATATGATTGACGTCTGCATTTCCAGTCTACAGCTTTACCTTGCATTTCTGCAGGGGCACTGCGATAAGGAAGAAGGCACTGCTAGCTCATCTTCTAAAGCAGACATGTCAAACACAAGGCCCGGGAGCCGGATGCGGCCCACGAAGTGGTTTCATGTGGCCCGCGAAGCATCCTGGGAACAGTGAGGGAATGGTCCCCGCTGCCTTGGCCCTGGCCAAAATGTACAATTTTGTGGTGGCCATCTATGCTGAAACGCATTCAGTCTTAGCTCCACAAGGCCGTCTAGAAACAGCGAGGAACCAGCCCCTGCCGTGTCGGCCCCGCCCCCTGTCCTATTTGCCAAAGTAAAATTTTACCAACTTTCTCTTTTCCTTGACAGCTCCAAGAGGAAAACGGGGATGGAAGACTTTCCATGGGATACTAAAGGGAATGATTTTGTATCTACAGAAGGTATTGCTTCTTGCTCGTTCTGTCTCTCTGTCTCTCACAAGCACACACAAACCTCCATGTCATAAAGAATGGAATCTCCTTAGTTGTATATGCCCAATTATATTATGTGAAAAGGATACACCCAACTTTCTTAAAATAGTCCTACGTTGCAATATTTCTGCTCTGGAAAAATTATAAAGATATTAAAACGCCATTCAGATCATACTGTAAAGAAATCCACTGGCGTTCTCTGAAATAAGCCTCTAATATAGGGGTAGGCCACCTTGGCTCTTTTATGACTTGTGGACTTCAACTCCCAGAATTCCTGAGCCAGCCATGCTGAGGGGAAAGGGAGAGGTTTCCAAGCTGAGCCATGGCTGGCTCAGGAATTCTGGGAGTTGAAGTCCACGAGTCATAAAAGAGCCAAGGTTGCCTACCCCTGCCCTAATAAAATGTTGGCATACATTCCCTCCCTGTATTCTTTCTTTTGTTCATTCTTCAATAATTTGATTACACATGGCTGAATTATCAACGTTCAAAAGCCCTAGGATTTCGAAAATATGAGCAGCGAACTGTGCACTCCAGGACCTTAATCTGTCTTCATCTATGGAATATGGCATTTTGATTTTTAGAACTCCTGAAGCATATTTCCTGCTTCTTTAATATCAACCCTCGAATTAAAAATGGGTCTACTGAATCAGTCTGTGATAATACATAAACTCAAAACTAATTGCCCTTGATATAGCTGTCCTCCGCTAATTTTAAAATTATCCAAATTGCTGGCTATTGCCATTTCTTGTAGTAATGATTTCCACAGGTTAATTATGGTCTGTGGGAAGAAGTGGTTATTTTGCCTCTTCTGAATCTCTTTCTAACCATTTCAAATCATTAGACTCTGGATACTATTCTTAAGATGTAGATAAAAACTTAACTTTCTCCATGCCATGCATGATTTTAGATACCTAAATTATGTCGCCAACAGTAATGTGGCTCAAAGTCGCAAATGCATATAGAAATTGTCATTTTACAATTTTTTTCTGCCAGAGTTTATGCTCTTTCATGTACTGATTAGGACAGTCAGTTTCTTGGATAGAGAGGAGTCATCTTCTTCCACAACTGCAAAATAACATTTAAAAAAATCTTTCCTATAAGACAGTGGTTCTCAACCTGTGGGTCGGGACCCCATTTGGGGTCGATCGACCATTTCATGGGGGTCGCCAAGCAAGGTTGTCCGCCATTTTTTTTGTCCGCCATTTTTTCCCCCTTTTCCGGCGGGTGCCTTACCTCCCTTGGGCTGGGCCAGCTGGTGGTCGGCCTGCTCCGTCTCTGCCGCTTGCCAGCTACGCCTCGGCCAGCGCAGGGGGAGGAACCACGCATGCGCGGCGCTCCCGGGCAGGGAAAGTCCTCGACTTACGACCGGTTTAGTCCTCGACTTACGACCGGTTGGGGTCGCGGCATTAAAAAGGTTGAGAACCACTGCTATAAGAGCAATAACCAGTTTTCATTTTACGCACTGACATACCTTGTTTTTTTTCCCTGTCTCTGATCTCTTTTCAAATTTTTCCCTTTCAATTTGCAGGGCCACTTTATACAAAATATCTGCTTTAAAAAATTTGAGTATTTGAGCGCTGGTGTCTGACCTAGAAAGCAGCTGCGTAGGGCAACAACTCTTCATTCTGGAGACATTTTGCGAATTAAACAATTATCACCCATACTCCTTTTCAGCTGTCTTTAAAAAGGCATGAGAGAGTCTTGCAGTTGACTGTAGGACTATGCTACAATTCAAATAGTCCTCACTTACTGACCTCAATTGCTATGCAGCGTTGCATGCAATGTAACTGATTTATATCAATTCTGACTGTGGGTTATTAAGCAAATCACTGTGGACTGTGAACTGCAGTGTCACATGACTACAACTTGCTCCCATCTTCCCCATTGACTTTGCTTGCAAATGAAGATGATGTGACTGCAAGATGCTATGACTGTTGTAAATATGCACTAGTTGCCAAGTGCCCTAATCATGAGCTTGTGATCGTGGGACCTTGCAATGGCCACAACTTCAAGGACTAATTGTAACTCTCCTTGATCAGTGCCGTCGTAACTTCAAACTGTTGCTGAATAAGTGGTCAGTAAGTGAGGATTAACAATATAATTGCCTACGTCAGTGCCATGGCAGGGAAAATAAGGATAAACAATAGTGAGGTATACTAAGTGCTTGACCTTATAGAACTGCAATTTTTTAGAATTTGTGAAGAAGTATATCTTATTTTAAAAGATAAATCAGGAAGAAAAACTTGCACGCCTTTGAAATGACAGGATGAGGTTATATCATCATTTTTAGCCATTGCCTGTCCACTGCAGGATGACGGCCTCTTCTGCATGTCTTTTTTTTTTTCCTTTTGGAAAGGATATATACAGCATGTTAAAATGATATGCTTGGTTTGTACAATTTTTTCTTTAACTTCTGAAGTTTAAGAGTGGAGAATTGCTGACATTTTGCCAGTGGAAGGGCTTGCTGGAGTTCGTAGAAAATAACCGAAAGCAACAACAGGTCCAATAAAGGAAAGTAACATAACAGATATCTGTCCTTTACTGCATTTCAGGAGGAATATAAACCTGGCCACGCCCTGGCTGAGGAAGATCTAAAAAACGCCATCAGTATCCATCATTCACTGGCCACCCAAGCATCGGATTACAACAAGAGACCCAACGTTTTCTATCTCAGGACAGCTGACTGGAGAGTCTTCCTCTTCCAAGCCCAGTAAGCAGGAGAGCACAGAATGTAAATTAGATGCTTCTAATGGGGGAAGGGGATTGATTTATCAGATCAATTTTATTTATTGGAAGGAAAGTTCTAGAAGTAAAATTGGAAATTTTACTTATTGTATTATTAGAAGGATCTATTGTTTGCTTAGGCAGCACACAATAGTCAGTGGTGGCGAACCTATGTAGAGGCGGCACTCAGAGTCCTCTCTGTGGGCACACGTGCCGTCACCCCAGCCCCGCCTCCTCCCATGACCCCCTCCTCACCAGCAGTCCCCCCAGAGGAGAGTCGCCCCCGGGCACAGCCCACGCAAAGCAGCGCAGCCAAGCACATGGTAGCCGGGCAACGGGGACAAGACTCTGCCCTTATGCCCCATCACACGCAGATGATGCTGTGGGGCACGGGCGGAGGGCATGGCCATGGCGCTGCTGGGCCGCTTGGGTGATGTGTGGCAGGCCGTGTAGGTGGTGGGTGGCCCAGTGGGCAGAGTGGGGCAGGGACGGGGGTGGGGGGCAGGTTTTGGGCACTCGGTCTCTAAAAGGTTTGCTATCACTGCAATAGGTAATATCAGACAAAAAACAAATAGAGCTAAGCTTTGTCTATCATTGAATGCAGCCTTACGTATTGTTCCTTCCCTTTCTGACTGTTCCAAACAAAGAAAGATTTTAAAGAAGCACTGCATCTCTTCAATATTCCTTAAAATTCCAGGTTTAAGAGAAAAAAAAACTATATAAAGCTTCACATTCAGACTCAGGGCCGTATGGAATATTACCATTTTCCCTAGATCACTGCAACAATAGCCAAAAAAACTCTGTGCAGTAGCAGCACATTTAGCATAAAATACATTACTTTGCCACCTTTTACACACACTGGGATATTTTGTGGATTTTGGTCTTTCTTCCCCTTTGCTTAGCATCATTTTAAAGGTTTTTAGATTTTATTTTTAAACATACAGCCTTCAAGAATTACAAAGTGCATGGTAAGAGGTTGGGATTGTTTTATGGGTTTCAGCAGAGGACTTGGGATGTCTTTTGTACAGTTATGAGAGCAAGTTATTTTTTGAACGAAACAATTTTGGCAAGCTTTCTTGGCCCATGATATCATTTAGAGAATGATACCTCTTTTACATCGTACTCCAGGAACACAGAACAGATGAATTCCTGGATCACACGGATTAATATGGTAACAGCCATGTTCTCCGCACCGCCATTTCCAGCTGCCATTGGATCCCAAAAGAAATTCACTCGGCCATTACTGCCCAGTTCTTCCACAAGACTATCACAAGTAAGTGGGTCATCTTTATTGTTTAGCGATTCTAGTATTATTCTGGAAGAAGAACTAGAGAAAAATTAAATGGGGTTAAGATAGTAAGTTTCTAATGCAAAAAAGGGCTGAGAGAAATAATGAAACTTCCAGAGCTGAATAAACTGTCCTGAAATTGGCAAGCAGGAGTTGTGTGTCCATGTATCTGTGCAAAAATTTAGATTCAAAGAGCTGATAAAATTGGTAACATTACCACAAAGGGAAAAATGAAAACAAGTTGTGAATGCCAGTTGGGGCTGATTTGCTACTAGGAGGTCCTACAATAGAGACCAAGCAACTTTTGTCCTCCATTCTTCATAGGAAGAGCAACTGAAGAGTCATGAAATCAAATTTAAAGCCATGGCAGCAGAACTTTTGGAGCATCGTTCCTCCCTTCCTGAAAAGAAGGTGAAAGGCAAGGAGTATGAGGAACTGAAGCAGAAAGAGGAGTATCTGATATTTGAAGTAAGTAGGAAGAGCCAGATCTGTTTCCAAACAGAACTTGCAAAGCAATGTTGGAGATGGTAGCAGAAGGTTCTCAAAAAAGAATGGTAGGGAAAATGTTTTCATTTGAGTAGCCCTTCTATCAGGACTGATCTAAGGTTACCATTAGTAATTTGCTGAAGCCAAAGGTATTTGGAGAAAGCAGTTGGTGAATGCTGCCCTCTTGGATCTAGAATAGGGGTGTCAAACTCACAACATCACGTGATGTGTCGTGACTTGTCGTGCCTTTTTTCCATTGCCGGCAATGGGGTGGGCGCAGTTTTGGCATGACGCATCCGGCCCACGGACCGGCAGTTTGACACCCCTGATTTAGAAGGTCACAATTCCTTCATAAATGCTTGCAGGAAGTCTTGAAGCAAAACTTGAAGGCAATACTTTTCCTATTGTTTGCTCTCCAGCCCACTGCTATTCTAGAGTACTAGCTCTACATATGGAGGTGTCCTTTGGCTGTTTTAGAAGATAACATTAGGCCATCCAAATTCCCATGAGTCTCAGTTACTGTGGCCAAAGTTAGGGGATAACCGAGTTGCTGTAAGGACCTGCCTCAATCCCTCTTCCCAAGAAAGCAGAACTCCTGGAATAGCTTCATCCCAAAAGGAACTTTTATTAGAGAAGTTGACAGCAGGCATAGAAGGCAGGATCTGAGGGTTTCCCGTGTGAATCGATAGGTTAAAAGAGCAACTGGCAAACCCCACCCCAATCATCCATCTGATCAGTTCAAATGAGCCAATCTCCAGGTGTGAACCTGCTGTGGGAACGGGGTTGATAAGACGCCATTCCCAAGGTTGTTAGGCTGTTAGGTCTTCACGGCTGTTCTTCCACAGTTAGAGATAAGGCAGATGGCCAGAGGCACATTCCATTCTCACCCCAGGCTGGCATCGAGGAAAATAGATCAAAGAACGGGCAGATAGAGGAAAGCGGAGAGGATACATTGTAGCACACATAGCTTCCCCCCTCCCCCTAGGAGTATGGCAGAACCCGCAGGAAGATAGAATAAGGAAATCACCCCCCTCCCAATAACTGGGTTCTGACAGTTGCAGTCTAACAGTAGATGGAGAACTACAGATACAGTAGCCACATTTTGGCTCATGTCCTGCATAAATTTACTTAATAATCCTTAATAACCAGCCCACTATGAATAAACCATGTGGGAATTGTTTATTCTGTTCATTCTACATATAAACACTTTCTTTGGTTTTCATGATCCCGCAGTAGCTGGATTCTGGCTAATAAATCAGATTTTAGTCTTGTTGAAAATCAGTGGGTTAATGGAATAATTAACTTCCTTTTGTTGATTTCATGGGAATAAGATACGATTTTAGGATTTAAAGCAACACATTTACGAGTGGATTTGTATCCTCCAGATATTTTGCATTTCAGTTCCCATAATCTGAAATCGGCACGGCCAGCGGTCAGACATTATCGTAGTTGTAGTCCAAAACATCCAGAGGTCACCATGTTACTTTCAGTGCCTATGTTACTCCTAGAACAGAGTTCCCCAACCTTTTCAGGTTGGTGGCCTATAGCAGGGGGAGGGGGGGAAAGAAGGGATGGTTTTGTGGGAGGGCTAAATGCATGCACGCGTGTGCGCATGAACACCCATTGCTCACGCAAGTGGGGCCACAAGCACCTGTAATACTTGAAGCGATGCTCACGTTGAGTGGGACTGTGCACGCACACACTGGCATCTTATTCAGATTAGTTATTTATGTGTTACTCCTGCACCAAACCTGTTACTTCTTGCTTTCTGCAGAAATTACGCTATGGCATTTATGCTACGCTAATGCGCACCAAGTTGAAGACCGGCTCTGAGGATCTGGCAGCTTTGGAAGCCACCCTGTTTGTTACAGTCGGCAGCTCAGAAGACAGCTACAAGGAGTCCCAGTCCAGCCTTTCCCTGAACCAGGAGACAGCTGGCACAGGTTCCAAGATAAAACGTAACAATCAGTAAGCAAGTAGTAAACAGCAAAGATGATAGATGGTCACTCTTGGCAAAGAAAATGGCATTTCTGTCCTAGAAATTTGCAAATTGTCATTGCTCATGGTCAAGAGTCATATAAGGGAAGACATTATCAATGGGGCCCAATTCTGTATCAACCTCACCAGTGGAAAGACACATTAGGACTGCCGTCCTACATTATACGGCCTTCCCAGTATAATCAGACTATAGCTTATGGGCGAAAAGTACTAAACTCCACAGTTAAGTAACAGTTCTGCATTCTTACATCAGCGTTTCGCTATGCCAACTTTTTCTATCTCTTTGCAAAACCAAGAATAAGAGAGTGGAAGAAAGAAGACTGCTTCCCTTCCTTTTCTTACAATTTTTGTGATCTATTTTACAGTTTTTAGTACCTGAATAACGCTGAATCACATTGGAGTAAAAAAAAAAAAAAAGAGTAATTTTGGCATGCATAAGATAGACATTAAGTTCAATAGTACTTCTACACAGGAGTTTTGGGGGCAGAGGTTTCTTCCTTTCCCTTGCAGATACAAGGCTGTACTGTCAGCCTGCAGGAGCAACTTCTTCAAGGAAGCCCAATTCTTTCACCACCAGCAGCTCCCTCGCAGTGGCTCAGTTATTTCCTCGTCAGCACAACCTGGATCATGACTTATCCTGATCATTGTTCGCCTCTTACAAAACTGGGCAGAGGTTGCATCTGCTTCAAAGAAACTATCACTAATAGGTAAAATCAGGGATAGCAGCTATCTCCCATTCTCCTCTTCCACAGTAGAACCACCATAGCGGGCCTGCTGGTCTTAGGCGCCTAATTAGGTTCTGCAGTAATTTATGAACTTGAATAACCAGCACAAAATCTATTGATTATGTAGTACAAAGAAACTGGCCATTCTATTGCCTGAGCCTGGTGGGGGCATATTCAGAGAGATGGAAGGGGGTGGGGAATTCCAGATGTCCAGGAACGTTCCCAACTCCCAAACCCGTGGTTGTGTAGGTGGTATGGTCCTAACACTTGTATAGATAACCTGGTCCCTTAACTTACAATCTCAAAAAGCTTTAAGGCATGACTCAAAAGCTTGATGATAATGTTATGTATGCAGTGGAAGATAAAAGGACCCAGCTGATCATTGGGGAGTACATGAAATTCTGGAGATGTGGAATAACAGGCTACTTATATGGTGGGAACATTGTACGGTAATACTTGAGAGACAAACACCACTTCCAGAGATCCGATACTGAATCTCTAAATATGTCAGATTTCTTCTGTTCTATGCGGACTGTAAAAAAAAAACCACAATTGTACAGTTTCTTCTTCAGTTACTGAAGTAAACCAGCTCAAGCATCTACAGTTCTCCTTCAAACTCTTTCTGTATTACAGAAACAGGATAAAGAATGTGTCATTTTGAGTGCCATAAATCAGGATCCACAGCTTTAGTTGCCTGGTTCAAACACAGATAACCGACCAGCCCAATATAAATGAGTGGAAAGCACCCTATTTTTCTCAACAATCTTTCAGATGTTGGAGAGAAGCCTGTCTAACATGCTGAATTGTACAGATGCACACAAGCGTTTGTTCTGAAATGGCCATTAAGAAAAACCACCCTACTAATCCCCCAAAGTTTGCTGGTTCCTAGGAAACGATCTCCCATTCCTTGTCAAAGTTCCAGCAATGTAACCCAGGAATTAGGTGTTTTTCACAGAATAAAAAGGACTGGTTGTTTACTTGTAACTGTGGTCACTTCTGCGTTCACAAACGTAGCTTTGTCATTTACACAAAAGTGTCATCTGGAGCCTT